AATAAATAAAGTATCCAAAAACTTTTACCTCTAAATCATCTATTATATTATAACGTCACCAACGAATTCATACCGCAAGCATTACAAATACTTAGTATCAAATATTTAAATTATTTCCATGCCACATTTTACTTCAAACTTAAAGGTTATACCAAATTCCTACAAACATAAAAATTCACAAAATAACTATCATTTAATTAAAATATCACTAAACCATGTACACGCCGACTATTTTTACTTAAAAAAAATCCCAGAATTGCACAAAAAATGGCATTGCGCACACTCTTCACTATATCCATGGACACTGCTTTTTTTCATAAATTAGAAAAATTTCACGAAAATACATGACAATTTTCTCAATCTTTAACCCGGTAAAAAGAAACATATATGAAATTACCTGATCGCGAAAAAAGTATTTACCCTTTACAAATATGAACATTTCCACATATAAAATAAATAAAATATCCAAAAACTTTTACCTCTAAATCATCTATTACATTATACACGTCACCTACGAATTCATCCCGCAAGCATTACAAATACTTAGTATCAAATATTTAAATTATTTCCATGCACGTTTACTTCAACTTAAACGTATACTAAATTCCTACAAACATAAAATTCACAAAATAGCTATCATTTAATTAAAATATCACTAAACCCTGTACACGTCGACTTATTTTTACTTAAAAAAACATCCCAGAATTGCACAAAAATGGCATTGCGCACACTCTTCTCCATATCCATGTACACTGCTTTTTTCTCATAAATTAGAAAAATTTGACGAAAATGCATAACAATTTTCTGAATCTTTAAACCCGGTAAAAAGAACATATATGAAATTACCTGATCGCGAAAAAGTACATACCCTTTCCAAATATGAACATTTCCCATATAAAATAAATAAAAATATCCAAAACTTTCACCTCTACATTATATTATATACAAACGTCACTAACTAATTCATACCTTTACTTCATACAAATGGTTACAAATACTTAGTGGTGAAAATTTAAATTTTTCCATGCTCGTTTACTCAAATTACTTTACTTCCACCTTACATTAGAAGAATGCATAAAAAATAATATCCCAAATAATTAAAAATACTAACTTACCTATTCTTCTTCATAATCTTGATTACGTGTCCGATAAACTTTTTATTTTCGTTTCAGGATATTTAAAATCATACTAATAGTTCACACCAAGGCACCAAGTAAAATAAATAACTTAATAAAACATCTTTACTTCTATCTCGCACAACCTTAAAGAAACACTTATTACCCCGGTCGATCTTTACAATATGGTAACTGGTAGTCCGGCGACATTTTGGAGGCGATAAAGGTTACTACCTGGGACTTTGGTAATAATGTGAGCAGTACTCAGTTCCGAATATGCATTATTTTGCGTGAGGGAAATGAGAGATCATGGGATATGTCATGTGATATTAATGGACGAATTACGCTTCTTTAATCGGAAAAGGGGGGAAATCGGGAAAAAATCTGGAAATTTTGTATTTAGCTTTATTCTGTGTTCTGTGAAACAGTGTTGTGTAATTTTTGGATCCCATGGCCCTATCTAAAGTGAATTTGAAATGGGTATTTAGGCATTGTGATAAAGAGAAGTTTGCTTTTTATTTAGCGGAGGAAAGGAAGTATGGAGGAAAAATTCGCAGAAAAAATCTTTCAATAATTTTATGAATGAATTAGAAAAGTGTATCCGCCACGTAATCAAGATCTGAAGAAGATTAGGTAAGTTAGTATTTTTAATTATTTGAGGATATTATTTTTAGCATGTGTTCTAAATGTAAGGTGGAAAGGAATTTGGTATTATTGGGAAAATTCTTATTAGCAATTGATTTAGTTTTTAAAGTAATAGGATTGTAAGATAATTTTATTAATTAATGTATGTGCTCATTTTATATTTTTAAGTAGTGTTTTGAATTTAATTATATTTAATGAAATGATAGTTATTTTGTGAATTTATGTTTGTAGGAATTTGGTATACGTTTAAGTTGAAATAAACCGTGTGCATGGAAATAAATTTAAATATTTGATACTAAGTATTTGTAATACTTGCGGTATGAATTCGTTGGTGACGTGTATAATGTAATAGATGATTTAGAGGTAAAAAGTTTTTGGATATTTTATTTATTTTATATGTGGAAATGTTCATATTTGTAAAGGGTAAATACTTTTTCGCGATTAGGTAATTTCATATATGCTCTTTTTACCGGGTAAAGATTGAGAAAATTGTCATGTATTTTCGTGAAATTTTTCTAATTTATGAGAAAAAAGCAGTGTACATGGATATAGTGAAGAGTGTGCGCAATGCCATTTTTGTGCAATTCTGGGATGTTTTTTTAGTAAAAATAAGTCGACGTATACATGGTTTAGTGATATTTTAATTAAATGATAGTTATTTTGTGAATTTTATGTTTGTAGGAATTGGGTATACGTTTAAGCTGAAATAAACGTGCATGGAAATAATTTAAATATTTGATACTAAGTATTTGTAATGCTTGCGGTATGAATTCGTTGGTGACGTGTATAATGTAATAGTTATTTTATATGTGGAAATGTTCATATTTGTAAAGGGTAAATACTTTTTCGCGATCAGGTAATTTTATATATGTTCTTTTTACCGGGTAAAGATTGAGAAAATTGTCATGTATTTTCGTGAAATTTTTCTAATTTATGAGAAAAAAAAGCAGTGTACATGGATATAGTGAAGAGTGTGCGCAATGCCATTTTGGTGCAATTCTGGGATGTTTTTTAAGTAAAAATAAGTCGGCGTGTACATGGTTTATGTGTATGTGTTAAATTTGAAAAACGCGTAAGGAGTATGGTATTGTTCACTTTTTCCCAATTTTGCAGTGAATATTTGTCATGATTAAGCAGTTTTGTTTGATAAAATTTCTAGCATAGGTGTAATTCGGCTAGTAGATTGTTGGAAGAAGTGTTCAGTAGATAAGAAGAAAAGAAACATGTCTTTACTTCGTGAAGACAAAATGGCAGTGGGGAAAAAAAATAGAGGGTTGCTGTAGGAGAGTTGGTTGCCAAATTTTCGCCAAAAATCGCCATGTTACCATAATGTAAAGATCAACCATTACCCCTTTCAATCCCACTAAATACCCATTTCGAATTCACTTTAGTTAGGGCCATGGGATCCAAAAATTAACGAACACTGTTTCACACAACACAGAATAAAGGCAAATACAAAATTTCCAGATTTTTTTCCCGATTTCCCCCTTTTCGATTAAAGAACCGTAATTCGTCCATTAATATCACATGATCTCTCATTTCCCTCACACAAAATAATGCGTAATCGGAACTGAGTACTGCTCACATTATTACTAAAGTCCCAGGTAGTAACCTTTATCGCCTCCAAAATGTCGCCAAACTACCAGTTACCATATTTTAAAGATCAGCCAAAATTTCTAGCATAAGTGTGTTTTGGCTAGTAGATTGTTGGAAGAAGTGTTCAGTAGGTAAAAAGAAAAGAAACATGTCTTTACTTCGTGAAGACAAAATGGCGGCGGGAAAAAAAAAATAGAGGGTTGCTGTAGGAGAGTTGGTCGCCAAATTTTCGCCACAAAATCGCCAAGTTACCATAATCTAAAGATCAACCGAAATGTTTAATAAGGTAGCCAAATATTAAGTTTTTTTTTTTTTTTTTTTTTTGGTTGGTGTGTGTAAATTTTGATACCCTTTAGATTACAAATGCTCTTTATTTCATAAATTACGGTTTCATATTTTTAATTGTATAATTTCTGCAAGCAATCTTACCAGATTTAAACTGATGATCTATAATACGGAAAAATCGATAATCCAGAATCGCCGAAGTCCCGACGAGTCCGGATTAAAGACTTTTGACTGTAACTGATACCCAATGTAGAAATAAGCCCTTACAAATATTTTCCCATCAGTCAAATTCACGGCAATCATGTCATAATAAGGTTTCCATAACATTCATCTACGTAGGTTACTATGAATGAAAGAACAACTTGGCGATATAGGAAACGGCAACTTTTCGATAAATGAAACAACTTATCGATAATCCCAGGGGCACACTTAAATCTAATCGATAATATATACAGTAAATTTTTAGATGAATACATAATTAACATTAACTATTACTTCTTCAAATTACTTTCAGGCCAAAGAGCCCTGAAAATAATTTCAAGCTTTAGTTCTCTCTCATTCTAAAATAAAGTCTAGTAAAACAAGAATAAAAAAAAATTAAATTATGAGAGTAAGGTTATTTCTGAATGAAAATCAGAAAACAAATTAAGATTGAGCATTTTTACCTTCAGTAGAGTATAAATATATCAAATTACAGTACACAGTAAAACATGAAAATATTATCTGCCCTGTCAAGGGATTTAATCAGTGGGGATTTAAAGAATTAAGAAACATATCTTGTTCATTAATTCCATGGCACAAAGGAAAAAAATAGTATAATTTTACATAGTCAGTGAGTTCCACGGTAAAATGGAAATGACCTACGACATAAAATTACAATAACTTACGAGTTTCTAAAGAGGATTTCTAATTTATTTTAAAAAAGAAATATAATACTGAGAACTCTACATTCTAGAAACAGAGAAAACAACATTAGTTTGTTTGACTAATATTGAACACATACTATTTTTTACTCCCCCCACATTAGCTTCAGATACATACAAATTTCCTTAGTTGAATTTATACTCCTAAATTTATTTTCAGTAAACTAGGATTTAAAACTATACTTTAATTAAATATATTCATATATACAAAAAATGATCCCAGACTGACGAATGAAACCATCATTAATGAAAATGTTTTATTAATAATAGTTATTATATTACAGACAAAAAAAAATTATAATTCATGATTTAATTTATACATTATTATATGATTTATTTTAATATATTTCTTTTAATTTAAATGCACATACAAATAAATATATAACAAAATGAAACAGACTCTCTTTCAGCATATTTAAAAAATAATTAAACTTACTTCTTGGTTTTGCCCTTCTGAGAAATTTGGTACACATTCTACTATTTTAGTTTTCATGATGCTAAAATTATTTGTTGAAGCCTTAGGTAAAAGGAATGCTTTTCAGTAATTCCTGCAGTGAAGGAGATATTTATACAGTATATATGAAAATGAACTTCTGAACTTCCGACATATCAGTAGATTAAAGTACGAAAATGTTTGATAAGATGGAATGTACATGAATCAGATCTTTATATTAGTTTCTAATAGCATTTACGAAAACTCTCTCATAGATAAAATTGACAAGGCCGACAAACATTTCCACAAGGGTTGATGACAGCACATTACCCAATCGCATCTTGCAACAAACCTGCCGGCCGGCTGGAAAGATTTCAATGATAATAATCTAACGAATCTTTGAAATATGAGCAGGTATTGAAAAACGAACCAGATACTTTTGGGAACAGTTCATTCCATTAAATTTTATAAATAAAATACAATAATTTTCTAATAAAAAACTTCTAGTCAATTACAAGCTTAAAAATAATCGAAAGCTTGTAACTCATAATTTAATTTTCTATGAAATGTTACGTAAAATAATAGGAAAAAAATGAATGCTGTTAGGTAATATAAGAATGAGATACATTCCGGTGACGTCGGAGGTCACGTGATGTAAGGACTGCTAATGTAAACAAACAAGTTTGTGCTGTTGTAGCTGTGTTGAAAAATCGGAAACTTTGTTTATTTTTAATTAGTTATGAAATTTGCATTTCAGTTTTAAGTATTATTTCAAACGTTAATTAACTGTTCATTCATTTGGTTAGTATAATTTTTGCCACTCTTATATGTTATTGTTATCTTCATGATACTCTCTTGTTCGCTGCTTTACCATGTTCTGATTGTTAATATTTATTTATGAATTTTTTCCTTGATATGATAATTCATTTATCATTTTCCCATTATAGTTTTAATCTTTTGTTTGATTTCTAAATTCCTGTTTACATTTCCAGTTTTTGAGGGTTGACAATGCCTACTACATGTTGTGCATACGGTTGTTCAAATAACAATATGAAAGACAGATGTAAAGAAAATAAGATTTCCTTCCATCCTAAGGATGAAAATCTGCGTAAAGAGTGGATAGTAAGAATAAAAAGGGAAAACTTCAATCCAACCCCCCCTACCAGAATTTGCTCTGAACATTTTGAAGAAGAATGTTTCACATACCAGCCATTCACGAACAGGAGGTCATTAAAGGCAGATGCTATGCCAACGAAATTTATTTTTATTTCGACTAAAGGAACCACTCGTAAGCGAACTAGTTATGTATTTGGTGAACCATCACAGGAAAGTTCAAGAGAAAAGAGGTATTTATCTACTAGTTTTATCAGAAATACATAGAGCATTTGTATATGAAAACTAAAAGATTGTATTTTTTTTTTTTTTTTTAATTTTCTACACTTTTGGTTTTAGAAAAAGATAAAATCATAATTGGTGTGCTATGAAATTTAATTACTTTCTTCCTGTTTCAATGTTTTTTGCAGCTGATAGTTTTCGAAATGAAAATTGCCTTGATCGCAACTTAATTGCTGTCTATGGCATGATACATATTATTTTGTATTCGACAGGGTTTTTATTGCTTATATGTTAAGGACTTGTTGTTTTATTCTTTTATCATGTTTCTTACTTCAATTCTTACAACTTTGGTAGACACTTCACTGATGAAGCAGTTAGTGAGGTTTCCACCTAATTTTAATACTTATTTCTATAATATGACACTTTCTATGCTTATTTCTTTGGTGTTTCTTACTTCATTTTTTACCACTGCTGATAATACTTATTAATAAATTCATTGAATTTGATTTCTGGGTTGTTATTATTTACTTCACCAGATTCTGATTACTAGCATCACATTGTAAGGTATTATATTAGACGCTAGCCTTAAGTTTATCCTTCCAAATAGCTTACTACATAGAAATTTTAAGCTTCTAAATGCTTCAGTATTGCTGATTTAAAAATAATTTTTATTGTTAGTTCGTCCTCTATTTTGTATGCCTTATGTTTATTTGCATGTAAAAGTTTCACAAAAAAATTGAAAATTTAGTAAAATGTCCCCCAAATTTAATTACTAATCAACCAAGATGTAACATGTAATGAGGTAGGAGAAATATGTGGAAAGATTTCAATGAGATGTTTCAGTTGATTAGTGATTCAGTCTTGGGAACCGCTTTAATAAAGAATTCTATATATTACAAAAGTATTTAAATAGTTCAACAAAAGAATGCCAAATAAATGAGAGAACTTTTCCTTTATATATCTGCCATGCAAATTTTGGTATGTGTGTGTGCGAAGTGGTATATGTGTACACACATACCTCATTTTTCTGTTATTCACACACACATCAAAATGCATGGCAAGTGCATAATGGAAAAGTACCTAAATCAGTTACATTGATACCTTTCTAGCTAAGAGAATGCATTTTTTTATTAAGTTGTTGTACTGTAATCAGAATAGATATTTTAGATAATGTCTTTTCATAATAAAATGTTATTTATACTTGTAGTCAGATATTTTAAATTTATCAGTTATTTTGGTACTTTAGCTAGATGCAAGTGATAAATTAGATGTTTGCAACGTGTAGCATGGTGTAGTGTCACCAAAATGGGGGAAGGGGATTGTTATTCATAACATATATACTTTATACCCAGTTGAGTACCTGTATTTTATACATATATTTATTCCCAAATTATTAAAAGCACTGTTTGCTTTTATTATTTCTTTTTTTCATTATTATCTTTATTTTTCAAATTATTAAAAGGACACTTATGCATTTATTTTGGTCTTGGAGCTTGTCGTCTACAATATATTTTTTTATAATATTGAATATAACCCATCCTTAGTTACATATATACCGTCTTGAAATTTTCATGTATAATATCTAGAAATTGTAAATATATTAAAAAAATAGCAATAATATGACTATGGATGTTGTTTGCCTGTCTATCACAACATTAAAAAAAGAAAATGAAAAAAAAAAAAAAAAAAAAAAAAAAAAGCATATTGCTTGACTAATTGCTGATTAGGAAAATTCCTATTCACCAATTCCATAACCACAGAATAGTTATGGTGGAAATCAACCATAACTATTCTGTGGTGTAGGAGCTGCAATTCATGCTTTAAATTTTGGACATTACTATTGAAGAAAAGTATTTATTTTAATATTAGAACTTTTGTTTTATTTATACTGTCAAACTATTTATTACAGTACATATTTTCTTTTCTTTTCAGAGCAAATATTCCTGTTTGCATAAGGAAGACAGTATCATCACAAACTGACGAGTCTTTTTTGTTAATTTTAAACGAATTTTGTCAAATGAGAGACCAATTGGATGCTGCACAAAATAATGTTTTATTGAATGTGTTTTCTTCAGCTAATGAGAGGATAAAAGTAAACATGAAATGCGTTAACAGGTTTCTCTCATGAGACGTTTATGACAATATTCAACTTTTTAATTTATCGGAAGATTTGTTAAAGAAAGATAGAATGCCACCTATTGATCAATTTTTCATGTTTCTAGTGAAAATTCGAACTGGAACCACAAATGAATTCCTAGGAATAATTTTTAAGATAGCTTCTTCTACAGTTTCAAAGATTTTCAATTGTGTAACGAGAATTGTTTTCTACTAAGCTTAAATGTGTGAATATATGGCCAAAAAAAGGCCCAAGTTAAAGAGTTCATGCCTCTGCAATTCTTACATCAATATCCAAATTGCCGAGTAATCATTGATTGCACAGAGCTCGAAATACAGAGGCCATGCAATCCTACAGAACAGCAACTAACTTTCAGCTACTACAAAAATGCCAATACGCTGAAAGCACTAGTTGGCATCTCTCCTTCTGGAGCAGTCACCTTTATTTCAGATTTGTGGTGTGTGTGCAATATCAGATAAAGCTCTCTTTTTAAAAAGTCAGTTACTTGATTTGCTCGAGGAAGGAGATTTAGTATTAGCTGATAAAGGATTTACAATTAATTCAGAATTATCTAAGAAAGGGTGTCATTTAAAAAAATACTGCACTTTTTGAAAGGAAACATTCAGTTCACTCTTGAACAAAGAAGTGAAAATAAAGCTATTTCCAATAAAAGAGTGCATATTGAACGGGCAATAGGAAGAATAAAAATATTCCGCTATTTTGAGGGAGCTATTCCATATAATAGCCTACATAATTTAAATGAGGTGTTTTTTATTGTTGCATTTTTAACGAATTTTAATAAACCTCTGATAAATGTTTTACCATTAAATTCTGAAAAAAAAAAAAAATAGTTAGATGGTTAATGTATTCCCAAATATGTGTACATATATTTTACTTCATACCATTTGTTAATGGAAATTTTTTTTTTTTTTTATAAATCTGTGTACTTTTTAAAATCTTATATAAAATGATTAATTTTAAAAAGTAGTTTCATATTCTTTTGTTATACAGTCAAAAGTCGTTAATCTGGACTCGTCGGGACTTCGGCGATTCCGGATTATCGATTTTTCCGGATTATAGATCATCAGTTTAAATCTCGTTAGATGGCATGCAGAAATTCTAAAATTAAAAATATGAAACCGTAATTTATGAAATAAAGAACAATTATGATCTAAAGGGTATTAAAATTTGCAAAAAGAAAAGCTTAATATTTATTTTTTACTTTATTAAACATTTCTTTCAATGTAAGTTGTTTAAGTTTTGCTTCGTTTCATGTGATAATACTTTCTCTTTAATTCTATTAAACAGACATAATTTCTTGTTCAGTTACAAAGTTCCGCTGTTCAAGTCCTATAATTGCTGGGTCCAGAACACCGACTAATTTGTCAATCGAAATTTTCATTTAACCTGTCACTTTTCTTCGCTATCGGAAGTGTCATATCGAGGAAGACCACGGCATGAAATAATGAAAAAATAAATTTTTTTTTTTTTTTGTTTTTAACTACGAGGGCTATCCAGAAAGTAGATTACGTTTTGGAATAAAAAAATAAACAAAGTATAGGAAACAAATTTTATTATATACAGATGAAAGCCACACTCAAATACTACTTTTCTACATAGTCACCATACAAATTAAGGCATTTATCGTAGCGATGTACGAGCTTGGAAATTCCTTCGTCGAAAAATTCGGCCGCCTGCGCCTTCAACCACTTCGTTACCTCTTCTTGCAGCTGTGCGTCGTCATCAAAACGCTGCATAGCCAGCCACTTCTTCATTGCTGGGAATAGGTGGAAGTCGCTCGGTGCCAGGTCGGGACTGTACGGCGGATGAGGAAACAACTCCCACTTAAAAGATTCAAGAACTTTACGAGTGACATTTGCCGTGTGGGGGCCGGGCGTTGTCGTGAATCAACAAGATCTTAGAGCTCAACATTCCTCTGCGCTTGTTTTGAATTGCTCTTCTGAGTTTTTGGAGAGTTTGGCAATACCTTTGAGAGTTTATTGTAGTGCCTCTTTCCAGGAAGTCCACCAAAATTACACCTTTTCTGTCCCAAAAAACAGTCGCCATCATCTTCCTTGCCGACATTGTTTGCATGCATTTCTTGGGTTTTTGGGGAGAACTTGTGTGCCCCCACTGCATTGATTGCAATTTCGTTTCACAGTTCACATGTTTCACCCATGTTTCGTCACCAGTAACGATGCGATCGAGTAAAGAGTCACCATCCTTATGGTAAGCGTCCAAAAAGTTCAACGCTGCAGCCATTCGCTGATTTTTGTGGTCCTCTGTCAAGATTTTTGGAATCCATCTTGCACAAAACTTGTGGTAACCAAGCTTTTCGCTGATGATTTCGTGCAACAAACTTCGCGAAATTTGTGGAAAACTCAAAGAAAGTTCCGTTATTGTGAAATTTCGATTTTCACGGACTTTAGCATCGACTTTTTCGAGAAGTTCGGCGGTCACTATGCTGGGTCTCCCACTTCGATCTTCGTCGTGAACATTGGTTCGGCCATTTTGAAATCTTATGACCCACTGACGCACTCCACCTTCAGTGATAATGTTGTCCCCATACACTTCACGAAGCTGCCGATAGATTTCTATCGGTTTACAGTTTTTTGCAGTCAGAAACCTTATTACTGAGCGCACCTCGCAGCTCGCGGGATTTTCAATTAACGCAGACATTTCAAACCGTCACAGTATCTGAACGGAGCACACAGCACGAACCTCTCACTAGCACGGCTAGATGCAGACTGAGCTGCGCAACGCTCTGACCCCAAGATGGCCGCGCTAGCCCCGCCCCTAGCGGACACAGACGGAAACGTAATCTACTTCCTGGATGGCCCTTTTTCCGAGCAAGATCTGATATCCGGAAAAATCCCAAATCCAGAATCGCCAAGGTCCCGACGAGTCCAGATTCGGACTTGTACTGTATTGGCCATTGTGTTACAGCTTGTAATTTGATTTATTTAAACTCTTTCATATAGAAAACAATATCAGTCTGTGCACCTTATAGATCCATTTTAACTGAATTATTTTATTAGTAAGATTTGTTAAGTATCACATCAGATTTTAAGAAATGGTCGAATTCCTTTTTCCAATGATTTAAATCAAAGAGCTAAAGTTGTAAGAAATTTAGCTAGTTTTCAGTCACATCAAACATGCTAAGGAAATATTGATTTCATACTGATCCCAATACATAATTATACCTTAAATGAGTTAAGTCCACCAAAGGCTTGATGAAAGAATGATCAATTATCGATGATTATTTAAAGCAATTACAGCCTTAACGTAAAATGGTATGCAGGTCCCCGAGAACAAATTCTCTATTATCCACTATACTGTGGGGGTATCACTGTTACCAACAGCTCATTGTTGCCTGCTTTTATACATAAAGGCAAGTTACATATTTATATAATTCTTTTTACAGCTAGAACATGTCAATAATAGTATATTGCTCACAATGTATATATGAGATTTCAGATATACTGCCAAGATAAAATTTAACATCTTAAACAGAATTTAATGTAATGATTAAAATAAAAATTTTTAAGTTGTTGTTTCAAATTATTCCAAAATACAGGATCAAAATGTATAATCTGTGTATGAATATAATTTGGATATTTGTAATAAAAAGTAAACTGGCATTCTGTTAAATTACTTATCGCTAATTGCCCTTGAATCTGATTAAAAGTATGCATGAATTGTTTTAAGCTTCCAAATTCCATCTACATTGTATAAACAAAAATTTGGTCTTTTGGCAAGCTGATTCAGCTCAACATTTTCAGGATTGTAACAGCATTTTATTTCGACAAGCCGAACATTTTCTTTGTTGAAAAGTAAGCCATCAGGTGATGCACACAAAAATGGAATACGTGGGTTGGTAACAACCCCAACTTTTCTCAAAATATAAGATTCATTTTGGCTCCTGATAAAATTTCTAATAATGCTTTCATGTCTGGAACCAAATGAGACTGCTGGCAATTTGCTGAGGTCTTTTTCATGATTTCTGTATATATTTGCTGCCAGTGTATCAAAGTCCGCCATCCTGTGAGCAATACTATGAAAGGCAGAAGCTGTTAGTCTTATCTGACGGTGGTTCTTCCACAAATTGCTCTCACTCTGTTCTGTAGTTTTAAGCTCTATCTCCCATGCTTCTTCTAGGCTACATTTTATGTTTTGATGAAAGTAAAGCACCTCTTCTATATTTAAGAAGTCGGGCATTTCAATATTTATCCTGGTACATACCAATGCAGGTAGGGAAATTGTTCCGACTTGAAATAGATGGTCTGTACATTCCAGTACAGAGAATATTGGGAAATTACAGTTTTTCTCCAAAAAGTGCTGAAAAGTTAACAGAATTCGTGGTTGAATAATTGGAAGCATGTGGCTTAAATATATCTGAACTCTTTTTTGGTGATAAGAGTTTGGGCCTTGGTTGATGCCATTTTTTGTAGCTGTTCAGTTGGGGCTTCATATAATTTTTTTTTGACTATAATCAACCAATGTGCATAAAGCAATGCAAAAACATGCTTGCAACTTGCAGGATTAGATCCACCAGGGCACTCACAAATAGCAGTCTGAATCTATAATAAAAAATATGAACATTAATGAAATTCTGGGACCAACTATGCAAGGTTGTTACAATTTATTCAGTGGGTTTCAAAGTCCAATAATTTTTAAGTTATAAATCACACACATTCATATATGTAAACTTAAATATGTTAAATATTTAAGTTTACATATAGAGGCATTCTTGTGTTCATCTCATGCAGCCAATAAGTGACCATTTATGAAAATGTTGAAGTATTTGTGTTTTTGGAAATATACAACATTTATATTTTTGTTACTATGCAAAATTATTTCAAAGCACCACAATGCAACTGTATATTCCAAAAAGCCACCAGAATATGAGATGGTACAGTTTAAGAATAATACTTGCCTATGTAAAGGCAACAACTTTAGATGGCCAAGCATTTCTAAAGAAACAGTGTCGAAAAAGTTACAATACATGTTGGAAAGATTGGGATACTCATTTCTATGTACATCATAAAACCAGAACAACACACATCGAACATTTATAGTTTTATCAGTAAAATATGAAATATTTCTACTTGATTTCAAATAGTATTAATTAACTTAATAGTTTTTTTTAATAATTATAATTTTTAAAATTATTTTCAGTACTTTTTTGAAATCTTATGAATCATTTGCAATAATAATTCTGTATACTGCAAGAGGAAATACATAAAATAATGCTCATGTATGTTGTTGTTCTACAATAATAATGTAATTACTATTATAATTTTAAGTCACAATTTTATCAGCCTGACAAGCACAAGATGGTTTTCAAAAATGTTAGACTAAAATGTCTGGAACATTATAAATACAGTTGCCCTAAAATTATGTCACGGTAGTGATACTAATATGATACACAGTTCAAAATTTAATACATAATTTTGTACCCCTTGAAATTTAATTGTTCATAACTGATTCTAAATCTATAGATAGCATGAACTTCATATTAACATTTATTTTTTTATATTACAGTAAAAATGTCAAAAAGAAAATTGTATTGATTTGCACAACTGAGTTCGCTGTAATTCTAGCTGTGAAATTAATAATTTTTTTATCATAGATATTTCTTTATTTTATAGTAGAAAGCGATAAAAAATACTACATTTATGCGTATTGATTAAAACTAGATTCTAACAGCCACATTATTAAAACACAACGTAACGAAATTAATAAAAATTCAGTGGTATAATATGTTCTCTATGGCACTCAATTAATAAGAGAAAATTAGCTTGGTGTTTATGTTTTTGCAAATAAGCAGATCTTGCGTGAATTCAACTATTTCAATAATTTAGAACAACTATGCATAAACTATTAACAAATATTTACATGATTATGTTTGCATTTTAAAGTTTGGAAAACATTATTCAAGGTCTCGAGAATATTTTTCAACTATTGATATACACTTAATATTCCTAGGAAAGTAAAACATGAATATTGGTAGGTATTATGCATAAAAGAAAATTTATGAATCTTACCTCATTTTCTGCAGAAATTTGCACAGACGTTTTATAATTAACTGTTTTCTTCATTTCTGCCTGAACACAGCTTACTATAAATACCCTACTATCGGACATTACTTGAAAACAAATGTTATTCACATGCTTTTCCTTGAAAAAGAGAAGGCCCTTTTTATTGACATCAAGAAAAGAGAAATCACTTCCAAGAGTACTTTTTAATTTTTCACAATAGCTGTAAATTTCTAAATTAGAAAAATCAATTTTAGTGGTACATCTGCTATAGACTCCATCGTAAACAGCGCACGTGCGGAGATTGTTGTCACTAGATCACGGGACCACTTTTTTCCTCTTCTTCTCTTGCGGAATGTATCTCATACAAAATAGAAATAATATCGAACAGATTTATTTATTTATTTGATGAAATAAGGTGAATGAGCTTAGTTTTATATCTGTTTTTTATTTTATCAGTATAATATTAAAATTTAAAACATACATGCATTTAATATGACTTACATCGTCGTTACATATTAGTAACAGAAAGCCATTTATTTTTTTTAGCCGATGCGTTTATCTGAAGTCTGCAACTGAAGTGAAGTTAAGAATTGTTGGTAAACAATTTAAGAATTTTCCGAAATTTAATACAGCGCGTAAACTTACCACAATTATTCGCGTGTAGCAGATTGTTATCATTCGTATGATAACAATTTAGGCGCCAAGATTTAACAGTATATGCATTCTTGCGCAAGGTAATAAAAATATTTGTTTATCGACGTGATGTTTTTCTATATAGAATTAAAGGGTTAATTAAAATTCCAGCAACGAATTCATTTAACTGTATATTTTATTCAACGTAGTGCGCATCCAGATAAATACAAGGTTTGTAATATTTTATTTAGTTTGATATAAATTAATTTTACTCTCTTTTTCTTGAGTATTTGACTTGTAACAGAATAATACAAAAAGCAGATCTTAATGTTTTCTGATCCTATATATTTAATATTTTTCCGTAATCTTGGTTTTATTCAAATGTTATGCATTAATTCGTAAACAATGTTAATTGTGCATGAATTTATATTCCGCATGTAAATATTTATTACTTATAACTAACATATATTAAGGCAATGTATAGAATATATAGACATAAAAAGTTACTTTGATACAAGATATACTAAACATTCTTACTGCAGTTGGTACATTCTTACTTGGTAGTTAATATTTATCACTTTTAACTGAGATGGTAAGTTGTTATTATATTTCATGTAAAAATTTTTATTCCATTACACGTGATGAAAAGGTACTTATTTTCATTTCATTTGAGAACAGATTTATATAAGAAAAAATAAATTTTGAAGATACATATTTTTTTCTTTTTTTTAATCACACAGCTTTGTTATACAAGTCAAATTCTGGCATCATTTCTGCATCTGATATTTTTTAGCTCTTAAATTTGATAACTTTTATTGTTGATTAAGATTTGATTAAATTGAATATATGACTTGAAATAATTTTAAATGCTGTGGGAACCATTCATATTCTGATTCTCTTCCCTCTCATGGTTTGGAGAATTATAATGAGAACAATTATAATGGCTTATATTAATAATAAGGACTTATTATTAATATAAGTTACATAAATATATTTTAATTGTAAATCTCATTTAAAATGTACAAGTTAGCTTATGATATTAAAGAAGAATAAAGTGATAAGTTAAACTCAGGTTATTTAAGAGATTGTACTATAGACCCATATTTATGTAATTTACTCATATAATTTTGCTTATGATTAAAAGTTACTTATGAATCTCTAATGAATAAATTCCTAGTTATTGTTTCATTGGTTTTAATGTTCATTATAATGCTGATGTAAATTTCTTATTATTTATATGTTGTTTCAGTATATTTCTTAGGTTTTAAAAGTAGAGTAATTAAAATAGATGTCTTTATCAGTAATATAAACTTAATTGCCACTATTGGTTTTGATAACTTAAGAAATAAATTAAAAAAAGTCTGAAGTTCTGAAGAATTTTATGAATATGTGAAAATATGATATCCATTTAATGAATTAATATAATATGAGGATATGATAGGGAAACAAATAACATTTTTAGTTACATCTACATATTAACTATGATGCTGCCATGTCCAAAGTCTTAATTAAAATCAGATTATGATAAATAATTTGTAATATATTACTGAATGGGATAATGAGACTAAATTTACCTAATGAATGTTGGTGAAGAGTTATTGAAAGATTTGAAATGCCTGAAAGTCTGACAAGAAATGATTCAGTATGAATCATTTTGTAGCTTGGGGAAGTTAGCACCAGTTTTGACATTCCCATATAGTATCCCAAAGATGTAATCAAGTTTTGTAGAACTCGATGGATGACTGATATCATTTATTATCTTCTGCATGAGGAAAATTTGATATCCTGATCCAATTACAGCCTATGTTTTCAAAAGCTACAAGAACATTGATTTGGAAATGGATGAAGAACTTTTATGAATGCATTTATAGCATAAAGTTCCACGCATGTTTTAATTTGAAGAGAACACTGAGACAGAATATTATAATTATAGATATGAGAGGTACTGTGTGGCAGAAGTTTTGGAAAGCATCTTGGTACTGTTCTTTTATCAGGATTGGATTCAGAAATGCATGTATGTATGCATGCATATATGTATGTACAAATGTATGTGTGTGTATACATATGCATATAAACATACATACATATATTTCTGAATCTGGTCCTATAATAGAACAGTACCAGCATCTCATTGAGCAGCTATGTAGCAGACATGAACTAAAAAATTCTAAAATTCCTATGGTTCGGTATTAGATCATGATACAGAGAGAGTGAATATTCTTCATATTGGGGCATTTATTTCAAATTTTGAGTGATTTTTTTTTTTTTTTTTCATTCTTTATGTATTTTTTAAATAGAAAATGAACCTTCATATAAAATATTTTAGGATCTTTATTGGGTAATACAGTACAAAGTCCGTAATCCGGACTCGTCGGGACTTCGGCGATTCCGGATTATAGATCATTAATTTAAATCTGGTAAGATTGCATGCTGAAATTATACAATTAAAAATATGAAACCGTAATTTATGAAATAAAGAGCAATTATGATCTAAAGGGTATCAAATTTTACAAAAAAAGCTTAATATTTATTTGTTTACTTTATTAAACATTTCTTTCAACACCAGCATGCGTAATGTATGCGCATTCTTTACGCGCATGCGTAATGTATGCCCATTCTCTACGCGCATGCATAAAGTTTGTGGCTTTGAGGTCCAGATTATAGATCATTACGGATAATGGACGTCCGGATTACAGACTCTGTACTGTATAAGTTTTCATCAAGCCTCTTGTTAAGCAGTATATATAGTTAATGCAAATATGCATTTCGCATTAAATATGAAAATTCTAGTATTGGTTAGGTACAGTGAGTACTGAATCAGATTTTAGCAAACTTACTTGATATAAAGGATTTTTAATTTTTTATTACTTTTCTTTGTTAATGATAAATCTGATAATTTTCAATAGTGGAAATTTTGCCGTTTTTAAATTTAGCCAGTAAAATGATTTAATTATTAAAAATTTCATGAGAAATGAATAAAATAAGTGCTTATAAGCAGATGGATTTTTTATGCTTATTCATTATTACAGCTGTTTAATGTAGCTTACATGTTCAGATGAAGGCATTTTTAAATGCCTATTTTGTATATGGTGCAGTTTGCATCTGATCAGCAATGCATCTAAATCCTTCCGTGCGTATAAACGCAACTACCTGAGTAGAGGTCGCCAAATTTTCAGAATGTGCCAAACTCTGGCAACCATGCCCATAACCATTCTTCCGGCAGCCATGCTCATAAAAATCGTTTAGTCAAGCAACGCCGTCATATTCGTATGTGTTCTTTTTTGTTGTATTACAAATTCAATGACTTTTATAAACAAATTGTTATTTATTTATTTATTTATTTGCCTTAGTTTTAAAATAAGAGCTTGCGAAATTTGCCAGCGATGGAAGACACTGCGGTAAAATTTCCGCAGAATACAGAATTTTGCTGAAATTTTTCTGAAATAAAAACGAGAAAATGCGCAGATAATGTTACCGACGGTTGATTGCAATTCTCTGATTTTTTTTAAACGAAAACAGATCGTTGTGTACTTCGGGAGAATAGCGAAAAAAATACCGAATGACTTGAATGTAACGTTTTTATTTTTTAATGTATAACGTAATACTTATTTAATAATTAAAATTTGTATTTTAAGTTGGTAAAGTATATTTTCTTTTCATATGTTGATAATGTTTACCGAGTTGCGATAAATATTGATAGTCTGGGAATCTTTCTAAGAAAAGCGCGAAAACCGCCAACTTGCACCCTATAAATAAATTTTACCTTTTCTTCTGTAAAAAATTGCCAGATTGCGTCAAGGGAGTTGCGTTAATACGTAAGTACCTTAGATAATTTCTTCCCCCACTTTTTTCATTTTTTCTTCCTTCTCCCCCCCAAAAAAACCTAGGTTTCACCATACTTTGGCAACGGAACTTTTTGAAGCAATTTCATCTCCATTCTGTCAATGTGTAAGAAAAAATCTTGTCATTTATATCGGAAAAGACGCGGTTAATCTTTGGATTATGGTAACTTGGCGAAAATTTGGCGACCAACTCTGCTACAGCAACCCTCTATTTTTTTTTTTTTTTTTTTTTTCGCGCCGCCATTTTCTCTTTTATTTTAACGAAGTAAAGACATGTTTCTTTTCTTTTTATTTACTCAACACTTTTTCCAACAATCTGCTAGCCGAATTACACTTATGCTAGAAATTTTATGGAACAAAACTGCTTAATCATGACAAATATTAACTGCAAAATTGGGAAAAAGTGCAGAATCGCAAACTCCTTGCCGCGTTTTTCAGAATCGCACATACACAGTAACCATGTACACATCGACAAAAACATCCCAGAATTGCACAAAAATGGCATTGCACACACTCTTGACTTTATCCATCTACAATGCTATTTTCTCATAAATTACAAAAATTTGCACGAAAATGCAGGAAAATTTTGGGAATCTTTAACCTCGGTAAAAAGCACATATATGAAATTACCTGATCGCGAAAAAGTATATACCCTTTCCAAGGATGAACATTTCCACGTATAATATAAATAAAATATCCAAAAACTTTTACCTCTAAATTATCTATTATAAACGTCACCAACGAATTTATAACAAAACATTAAAAATGGTTACAAATACTTAGTGTCAAATATTTAAATTATTTCCATGCACGTTTACTTCCACTGAAACGTATACCAAATTGCTACAAACATATAATTCACAAAATAACTATCATTTAATTAAAATATAATTAAACCATGTACACGTCGACTTATTTTTACTTAAAAAAACATCCCAGAATTGCACAAGAATGGCATTGCGCACACTCTTCACTATATCCATGTACACTGCTTTTTTCTCATAAATTAGAAAAATTTCACGAAAATGCATAAAAATTTTGTGAATCTTTAAATTCGGTAAAAAGGACATATATGAAATTACCTGATCGCGAAAAAGTATATACCCTTTCCAAGGATGAATATTTGCACGTATAAAATAAATAAAATATCCAATGGCATTGCGCACACTCTTCACTATATTTATGTACACTGCTTTTTTCTCAATTATAAAAATTTCACGAAAATGCATGAAAATTTTGTGAATCTTTAAATTCGGTAAAAAGGACATATATGAAATTACCTAATCGCGAAAAAGTATATACCCTTTCCAAGGATGAACATTTGCAAGTATAAAATAAATAAAATATCCAAAAACTTTTCCCTCTAAATTATCTATTATAAACCTCACC